AGTGGGAGTCTGATGGCATCAAGGAGGTTAGAATACATGGAGATGGCGTCTCTGCTATTACAGTACGAAGAAAGTGAAGCCAGGGGAAGGAAATAAGCCACGCCACGTGAGGGCAAGAAAACGATTACCTTACTAAGCGAAGTGAGGTAAAACAACAGCTGATTTAAAGTTCTCAGTGTGTTTTCTGATTTTGTATGCGTAGATCTGAAAGGCCTAAAAGGTACTGAATTGTCACAGAGAAATAATGTTTACATTTCCGACTTCATGTCCATGTAAAACAATGTTTTAAAACGTGTATAAAAAAGTAGAATAATCGAAATGTGTATTTGAATGGCCTTCAAGAAAGAGTTTGAGTATTTGCTTTGTGTAAAGTACACGAAGAAACATATATAGTTCTCAGATTTACCTTTTCATAATAATAATAAAAGCGATATCCGTAATTAACTTATATGTGATAGCAAAACGATAAGTAAACAAGGGGAGGGGGAGTGGCTAGCTCTCCATGGAAAAGAAAACAGTTTACTTTAATGTCTGATCATAATTACTTTACAGGTCTTACCTTTTATGTGTTTAACTACATTTTATTTTTTGCTCAAGTAGATATATAATAACTGGATTTGATTTTTAGTCACATTTGTTGTGTGAGTTTTAAAATAACAACGTAAAGTTTACATATTCTATCATTGTTTTATTCCAAATTCAGTTTTTTCAAAACATAAGTAATATTTATAATATGAAAAATTTGAGAATATATATAATAAGTAAAGTATAATCAAATTATATTTAGTTACTGTTTTGCACTAGTTACACATACTTTTAATGGTATTATTCATAATTACAGGATGCGATTACATAATGTAATTATGGCAATTAAATGTAAATAAAATGAAATGACAGAAAAGTAAGGAAGAGGTGCGTGAAGAATCTGCGATCCTTACGACTACCAGGAACAAAATTGGGTGTGGTTAGAGCACGTCAATCTTTCTAAGCCACGACTAGTAAGGGCATGCTTTCCCCCCTTTTTAGGCTTCATTTTGAGAGCGTGGAGGGCATCTCCATGAGTTCTGACCTCCTTGGATGGCATACTATTGTTTTTCTGTAATGGTTTTTCAGTCAACGGAGACAAATTCATAGATTGCGACTTCCGTGCTGAAATCCTTTTCATCCTGTCAGAGACAACACGAATTTTTGGTCTAAATTCGCATAACTTCGAAGTAGCAATATGATCCTTTTTACAGTTCGGGCAAGTAGGTTTCGATTCTTCGGCTAATTTGCATATATAGGTCAGGTGTCCCTGCCCACACTTCATACATCTTGGCGAATTGTTACAAAACATCTGACTGTGTCCATATCGTTGACATCTGAAGCAAATCATGTTGCTTAGATTGCATCTGTATCTTCTAAACTTGACTCTAAGGTCCAGCAGAGTTTTCTTTCTGTAAATATTTTCAACCATCTTGCTTAAATCTTAAAGCTCGCGAAAGGTCATGTGACATTACTGGATGCCCAGTGGTCAATCCTAGAAGCTTCTCCCTCGGTGGCTACACAGATGTGCACTTGTGAAATATGCCTCCCGTACTTCTAAGTTTTGGAAATAAATCATAATTCTAGCCGGAGTTACAGACAAGAAGGCTTCGGAGCTTCTTTTATATAACTAAATTACTTCACTAAAAATTTCATCTCGAAAGTTTTATTGTTTGCAATAAAATTATATTACAAATCGCTTATTAAATTTCAATTTATCTCTACATTCTATTTAATTTTAATCACTTAACTGTTTTAATATTAAAAATTCGTTTTTTTTTCAATTAAATAATAATCGACAAATATTAATTATTAATGCTTTTAATAATCATCATGGTATTTATTTATTTATTTTTGTTCCTCTTTGCTGACGGTTTTCCATAGGGCTCCGGCACTTCTAGCCCTGAGTTATGCATTTAAAATAAAAATAATAACTGAAACGGGATCCAGCTTGTGACAGTGTGAAAGTTGAACACTAAGTTTAGAAAAAAAATAATGCAGTAACACTGATTATTCAAATCAGGAAATGCAATGAAGAATAGTTATTTCCAAACATGACAATGTTTTGAATGCATTGTTGATCTTGGCATACACTGTATTGGATTGGTGCAACCAGAATCAACAGTCTTTAGCATTTATTGAAGGAAATTTATTTATTTTTCAGCGTTTATTAAAATTACTCGAAAGTAAAAGATTGTATACATTTGGCGCATTCAAGTACCAGTTTTTATGTAAGGAAAAATAATAATATTGATATATTACGAAATTGTAAAGTTATATAAAAAAAATTGGCGTACGTTGTCAAGGAAACAAACTCGTGCGAAAGTATAAGTTTGTTTAAAGTGCGAGTAATGGTATTGCGCCAATCTAAAACCTCTATCTCTATATATCGAGCGGCTTTTTACCTCATACTTACTCTTCGTTCAATTTCCATTACTGATGATGTAGCTGCTCCCACCCCCACCACCATTTTTGCACAAATTCTCAGAATTTGAAAGCAAATCGAATCCTCGCAAGGAAAAGTTCTCTTTGCTTTAGGAATGGTTGAAGAAATGATGAAAATGGACTTGTAATTTCTCTTTTTCTCGGTAAGATGATTTCACTAGTTTCTATCTTCTAGTTCCATAGACTCCGTTGGATGGCTCCACTTGACGGATCTGACTCGCTGATGCACTCTCCAGGCCTGATGCTCCTCCTCCACTTGTGATGTCATGCTGCCACCTCCATATACCTTATAAGAAAGGTCCATGGTCTGTAGCTTGTAACTTCAGGTGAAGAATATTTTCAATCAATCAGACAAATTATTGCTGGGATAGCGCGCAAGCGCGCTGTTTCCAGCTCATGAAGAGTTGCATATAAACACGTGACTTTAAAAACATTCTGAAGTTGAAGCTGAGGTATTGAGGTGATGAAAAAAGAAAGCCCAAAGCATGGCAGGCGTAGAGGGAGGTGTCAGTCATGAGAAGTAGGCGTGTCTACTAACGAGAGCAGGAACGCAGAGTCCGGAGGGCGATGCTATACCCTGAATACCAAGAATACCGTGGCTGGCATCAATGTTGTGTGGTGTTTGGTGAGCTCGCTATTAAAGCGCTTATATCTTGGTTAATTTGTGAGATTAGTGAACGAAGGTGCTTTTTTTCTGATCTATATGTGTTCTGGTTTGTGTTTTTAGTGATTATTTTTGAATTTGAAGCTTTATTTTGCAAGATCTGAAGATTTAAAGTTTGATGTTGAATTGCTACCTCATTTGCATACGATAAATACTTTTGGTCTTTATCTTTATACATATATTGTGCAAATTACTTTTGATGATATATTTTGCCAATGCCAATGATTTAAAAATTTCGGAGTTCCTATGGTTCAAAACCATCTACCTCCACATCAGAATTACTAAAAGCGAGCAGAAATAGGAAAATTTTGCATAAGTGATTTACTGATGCACACTAGAGGGAGCCACAGGCTCAAGAAAGTTTAGGGATAGAGATGAGAAAATAAAATTTAAGTATCATAATCTTTTTATGAGTTTTTAGGTTTTTTTAAAATTTTTTTGTATTTTCTATTTTATAACTTTTTTTGGTTTTTTATAATTTTTTTATACACAGTACAAACACTAAGCAAAAAGTGGATAGGAAGATTTTTACGATTAATAGCTCATTGCATGTGGTTGTGTGGAGTGCAAATAATTATTGAGATCGCGATGAAAATATTCTTGACTCTTTATAACTTGGGGTTTTCATCCGCAGAGAAACCGTTGGCGCTTCGGGAAAGAACCCGTTGGCGCCGTTGCATTCTTACTTGCCAAGCTCGCGGTTCATCGACGATGAGCCGAACCGTAAACGTGATTTTTAGTGCATGTAAATTCAAGTTAGCAGATAAAACAATATATTAAGCATATGCTAGTAAAAATTCACATATAATATGCATGTAGATGTAAAACTAAAGGGTTAAACGTGATATACGAAATAAATTTGTATTAAATTCAAGTTAGCACAGAAAAGAAATATATTAAGCATAAGACAATATATAAGCATTTTATAACGGAAATAAAAATTCATTTAAAAAATATAAATTAGTATTAATATACTGAAATTAACCCGGTTAAACGTGATATACGAAAAAAAATTGTCTTAAATTCCAGTTAACACAGAAAACAATATATTCCTTAACCAGCAGTTTTTTTGCTAATTTTGATGACCATGGTGATGCATCAAACTATTCTGTCATCTTATATAATCAATATTTTTTTTATTTCAATTTAATCATCTATTTATGCCACACCTGCCATCCTCTGAAAGGTTATTGTTAGAAAAGCATTAACAATATATTATCTTGTTAAAATTTTACGCCATAAAAAAAACTGCTTTATATTCTCATAATTTTAGATGGCAATAACCAATAATAAAAATAAAAGCATTACTTAATTATTTAAAATGCACATGCACATTTTTTTTGCGGTCTACGGAAATCAAATTATTTTAGACTTCGGAAACCTCATGGTTGCTTAGAGCTGTTAATAATTAAGAACACAACGTGAACAGCCGTGTTACAAATTAGCATTCACCCCTTCCCCCCGTATTTTCATCTTCCCGATCCCGAAACCGGCATCTATCTAGGAAAATATTTCTATCTATTCGTTGTTAAAAAAATTCAGAAAATAATAATAAATAAGAGAAATAATATAAAATCTGCAAATGCGAACAACGACAGTCTTAATTCAACAAAAATGAACGCAAGAGGAATGGTTGCAAACTTCGAACGAGCGAAGGGTAGGATAAATCCGAAGGGTTACCAAGTAGAACTATTATCGCCAAAGTTGGCGATGTTTACATTTACCGGGATCTCTGCGGAAGTGCTTCCCTTAACATAAAGCATTCTGGTTGCATGCCATCAACCAATTTATACCATAATGTTGCGTAAGAAATTACTCATAAAATTTTATGAAATCCATTAGCTAAATGAGGAAACTTGAATATTTTTTAAAAATAATACACCAGTGAATGACAGAGAAATATAAAACTTACAAATTGTCTACCAGAAGAAGTATCTTCGTCCACTATGATCTTTTCGCCAGGTCTGGTTCGAAGTACTGGAAAATAATCAACATCAACAGATTTTACAGGAAGGTTTTTATATTTTTCTTCAGCCTCTGGTTTCACTATTGCCTGCCACAATATGTCAGACTGTTCTTCAGGTGGTAAATTATCCCACACTTCATTATACTGTTGCCGTGAGCTGATTATATCAGCCATCATTCTGCTTGATGTAGCATTAAGAGTAACAAAATAAGATTCTAATTTTTCCCTCACAACACTAGACATGGCGAAAACTAAAATATCCTTGCGTACAAAACTAATTAAATTATAAGACACAACCCACTCGACAGTTCAGTGTCAGTATTTTTTGTTGCACTAAAGGATGCGTCTTAATACACGTTGGACGAAAACACAAAATTGGTTAGTGGTTTGATTTTTTTCATGTAAGAAGGATTGAAACTTCTAAACCTTTGTGTAAGAAAGCGTGCTTTGGACTTTGTTGTGTTTTGGAAGAGTACTGTGCCGCGAATATTTGAATATGTGTGCGAAATGACATCTGTTTGATAAATTTCTTTTGCAAAGAAATCTGAAAAAATGACGTCAATGCAATTAGTGTTTCTCTTTGACCTTAACGCGTTTAACAGTGTTCAATTAAAGTCTACAAGGGAACTAAATGAAAATTTACAAAGTTTACGATTAACTTGTTTACGATTATTAACTTATTTTTCAAATGAAGTGCGTACTTTGAGATGGGGTTTTAAGTTCTTTGACAGTTGTGGCTCGTTAACTCAGGCTATGGATAAATTTACATATCAAAATTTTTCTTTGGAAAATTTTGAAATTCTTGAAAATGAAATATGTTTAAGGTATCAAAGACATGTTTCTTACTTGGAAGCATTAGCAGAATCTGTTCAACGGAATACTACGTTAGCTTCCAATATGCTCTCTAGCAATCAAAATGAACTACAGAAACCATATCCTATTAAACTATTACAATTAGCATTAACACAAATTCTTTGTGAGTACCATTGGGAAAGTTTTGATGTAACTTCACCAGTTAGATCCACTAATGAACAAATTGAACGAAAAAATTATTTGTTTTTTGTCACAAAGTGTACAGAAACTGTTGAAGACTTCAAATGCTACTTTGGAGTGAAGCATGTACCTGTGAAAAATTCTCGAATCCATTCGCTATTACTTTCTCCATCATTACATAAACAACTCTTAGGTAGAGCAGGCATACAGTGGGTATGGCTAAGTACATCAAAAAATAACTTTTTAGTAAGTTGTGTTTTTTTTTTTTTTTTTTCATTTTTATTTAATGTAGTTTATGTTGAAGTATCTTAATTCAAAGAATAAACAGGTCCTTTTTTTTTAAGAGGCTCTGCTGGTTTACGAATTAGTAACGAAAAAGGAACATTCTGAGAAAACTAACTGAGACTTTAAACTGCAGTTCTTCTCTTAATCTAAGATACCTTCTGTTTTTTTTTTAGACTAAATTAATTTGTTAATTCTGTAATAAAATGCATACTAATTCAAACTGAATTTTTTTTGTATTATTATGTTAACCGGCATAAAGCTATTTTTAGCAATCTGTAAAGGTTTTTTAAAAATATTTTTCACATACATGAAAAGAGTATTTACTTGTGTTCATAAATGGAAAGTAAAACATGCATATTCAAAAAGTCCTGTTTTAACATTTATTTGGCTGATCTTTAGAATATGGTAACTGGTAGTTTGGCGACATTTTGGAGGCGACTACCTGGGACTTTGATAATTATGTGAGCACTACTCAGTTCCGATTACGCATTATTTTGTGTGAGGGAAATGAGAGATCATGGGATATGTCATGCAATATTAATGTACGAATTACGGTTCTTTAATCGGAAAAGGGGGGAATTTGGAAAAATATCTGTGGTATATTATTTTGTATTAAGCTTCATTGTGTGTTGTGGTGAAGTGGGTTGAATAATTTTGGGATTGTATGGCTGTCTAAAGTCATTCTAGATGTGATAAAGAGAATTTTGCTTTTTATTTAGCGGAGGAAGTGTGGAGGAAAAATTCGCAGAAAAAATCATTCAATAATTTTATTGAATCCATAATAAAAGTGTATCCACCATGTAAGCAGATTCTGAAGAAGATTAGGTAAGTTAGTATTTTTTAATTATTTGAGGATATTATTTTTATGCATTGTTCTAAATGTAAGGTGGAAGTAAAGTAATTTCGTATTATTGGGAAAATTGTTATTAGAATGATTTAGTTTAAAGTAATTGGACTGTAAGCTAATTTTTTATTAATTTAATGTATGTGCTTATTTATATTTTAAGTAGTGTTTTGAATTTAATTATATTTTAATTAAATGATAGTTATTTTGTGAATTTTATGTTTGTAGGAATTTGGTATACGTTTTAGTTGAAGTAATGTGCATGGAAATAACTTAAATATTTGACACTAAGTATTTGTAATGCTTGCGGTATGAATTCGTTGGTGACGTTTATAATATAATAGATATTTAGAGGTAAAAGTTTTTGGATATTTTTTATTTTATAGGTGGAAATGTTCATATTTGGAAAGGGTATATACTTTTTTCGTTATTAGGTAATTTCATATATGTTCTGTTTAACGGGTTTAAAGATTCAGAAAATTGTCATGCATTTTCGTGAAATTTTTTCTAATTTATGAAAAAAAGCAGTGTACATGGATATGGTGAAGAGTGTGCGCAATGCCATTTTTTGCAATTCTGGATTTTTTTTTAAGTAAAGTAAATTGACATGTACATGGTTCAGTGATATTTTAATTAATGATAGTTACTTTGTGAATTTTATGTTTGTAGGAATTTGGTATACGTTTTAGTTGAAGTAAACGTGCATGGAATAATTTAAATATTTACACTAAGTATTTGTAATGGTTGCGGTATGATTCGTTGGTGACGTGTATATGTAATAGATGATTTAGAGGTAAAAGTTTTTTGGATATTTTATTTATTTTATATGTGGAAATGTTCATATTTGTAAAGGGTAAATACTTTTTCGGATCATTAATTTCATATAGGTTCTTTTTACCGGGTTTAAAGATTGAGAAAATTGTCATGTATTTTTGTGGAGAAAAAAGCAGTGTACATGGATATAGTGAAGAGTGTGCGCAATGCCATTTTTGTGCAATTCTGGGATTTTTTTTAAGTAAAAATAAGTCGACGTGTACATGGTTTATGTGCATGTGTTATTTTGAAAAACGCGTAAGGAGTATGGTATTGTGCACTTTTCCCAATTTTGCAGTGAATATTTGTCATGATTAAGCAGTTTTCTTAGATAATTATTGTTATTTGGAAAAACGCGTAAGGAGTATGGTATTGTGCACTTTTTCCCAATTTTGCAGTGAATATTTGTCATGATTAAGCAGTTTTCTTAGATAATTATTGTTATTTTGAAAAACGCGTAAGGAGTATGGTATTGTGCACTTTTTCCCAATTTTGCAGTGAATATTTGTCATGATTAAGCAGTTTTCTTAGATAAAATTTCTAGCATAAGTGTAATTCGGCTAGTAGATTGGAAGAAGTGTTCATAGATAAAAAGAAAAGAAACATGTTTTTACTTCATGAAGACAAAATGGCGGCGCGAAGAAAAAAATAGAGGGTTGCTGTAGGAGAGTTGTCGCCAAATTTTCGCCAAAAAATCGCCAAGTTACCATAATCTAAAGATCAACCATTTATTCTTTTCAGATATGAATGTTATTAAAGTTTTTAAAATTATTTCAAGTTCATATCAAACAAGACAACTCTTTTGAACTAAGTATCTATTCTTTCAGGTTTAATCCTAGTATATAGTACACCCTGGATTTGGTGATATTATGATGAGAAGTAAATGCGTCATTTTGGTGCTGGCCATAATTTTATCTTCTATACTTAATGATGCTTTATATCAGGGTTTCTTAAACTTTTTTCAGTCGCGACCCACTTTCTATCACTGAGATTTTTTCATGACCCTCAGGACCCCATAAGTATTGTGCAAATCCAACAAACGCGTGAGTGAAACTGTCAATTTTTTAACTTGTACTTTTAGGTCATTAACTTTAATTTCTAACTCTAAGACATAGAACAATGTGAAACTTTTAAATAAGTAACAGACAAAATGAAAACATCACGTGCAAATCAAGGAAAATGAACGTTTATATTATAAAAAGAATGCGTCAAAACGTTTTCATTTTTTCTTTGTCTGTATTGTCTTATCTTTATCCATTTTCAGATACATTGTGTAAAAATATTTGGTAGTTGTAAAATTATTATAAGTTAAAGAAATATCAAAACTGAAAAAAAATTTGGCACCCCACATCCTCCTGCAGCAGGAAAGTAAGAAAGGAAGAAGTGACCAAACCGACATTAGAAGTGAAGCACCGCTCCGAAGCTTTGGTCTCCAGATGGGGTTTTCTGTTTACATTCAGAAGCTTGCTTGACAGTGCTCTGATAGTATTTCAACACACGACAGTTCCATACAAATCGAAAAACGGGACACTTCTGCATAAAAGAAAAATTCCTAGTGTGATAGATAATAACAATTTGTATAGTTTAGTGACATTTACGTAAAAATCACGTCTTATTATTTTTCATTAACTAATAACAGCAATTTTGATTATGAATTTTGTTTTATAAAATTCTAAGCTGTTGAACTACAAAATTATAGATTTTAGCAAAAATGTAATGCTTAATGAAAAATACCTCACCGTACCTTTAAAATTGTATACATCTTTCAATATGATTCTTGATACAATATTCGCTACTTTTATTTTATGTTCCAAATGCCAAATGTTTTAAATAAAATAATTTTTTTTTTCACATTCGCATATTATTGTAACATGTACTTTTTTAAAATTAGTGTAAATTACTTTACTCGAAAAATATAGTGAATGCACAGAAATTAAAGATTTCCACATGCGGGAAATGAAAAATAGTATTTATGTATGTGCTTGCAAAAGCATGTATCTGCATTTAACAAAATACATAAATATTTATTAAATTATTTATAAATGTATTCGAAATGAAGGATTTATTCATTCATAAACAACTGTGAAAAAAATCTAATTATTAAATATATCTAAGTTTATAATGATTATTAATATTATCTAAATATATAGTAACCTTAACATTAAATTGTAAACATAAATTGACATCCTGTTGACAAATACGTTATGAAACTAGTTGAGCAAGAATTGTTCGTACTCGAAAGCAATCTGTTAAAAGGTATTGTAAAGCAATTTCTAAGAGATGCGTACTTAAGAAAGTAATAAAGAAGAGTTTTGGAATATGTATTGTTGAAATTAAGGGTAAAAAAATCTGATATGTATAATTAAAAGAATTATTCCCCTTACATTTTATAATAACTCTGTTACAGGTTTTAAATAATATTTAAAAAATAATCCTTATTTTATTCTCTTTCAGAAACATTCAGGGAAAGTTAAGTACTATATAAAGTATTTCGCTATTAAAATAAAAGGTGCTCTAATTTGAAATGGACTAAATAGAGCATTATTTATAAATTAACTCATATTTTTCGATTTAAAAGATGCCTCAGAAGCTGAAAAATCATGTCATATTTGAGAAAGTATTTTAGGAAGAAGCTCTATAAATAGAAAAGATATAATGCATAATTTTAATATTAGTAATACAATAAACTTTGTTCTTAATTTTTGTAATACTTAACCAAATAAAATTGAATTACCTTAAAATGTCTTTCTAATGTAATTAACGAAAACTTGAGGAAATATTTCATTCAAATGAAACCATTCTGAGCAAACTGTTCTATGATGTGGAGCTGTGTTAAAACCGCAGCTCCACATTTTATTCCGTTCAGAATGAAATGTTGTTTAAAAATGTATTCTTTTCATATACTTAGGACTCTGAAGTATTGTAGAAAAGGAAAATATATACATTTATATGCATATTTACGCCGTAATTACAAAATATTTACATCCAATCGTGTCAAAACCCATTGAACTTAATGGTAAATTACCTAATGTTTTGGTCACCAATGAAGGGATCGAAAGTACTTCAAAGCAGAGTATGGGGAAACCGGTTTAGAGCCACTCCATCTAACTTCCTACCTTGATGTGCTGCAGGTCCCACAACCCCCAGTTTAAGAAACCTTACTTTATACAGTCAAAAGTTGTTAATTCGAACACCCATAATCCGACCTCAAAGCTACAAACTTTCTGCGCATGCGTCAGCACGTAAGATTTTTACGGCTGCGAATATGCATGTGCGAATGCGCATAATACGTTTACGCATGCGC